TAAATACAACAACATTATCTAAAGAACCACCCTTGATGAGTCCTACAAGTGACAATAATTGTATGGTTACATTAAGTCTAGTAAAAGGTACAACTTTTGGTGCATGAAATACAATTCATTTTAGCATAACAACACTAAATCTATGGCCTTGAAAAAGTGGAATTTTGCAAGAGGTATATGTTACCTGGGTGTAATTCGTATGCTCAAGTACCCAAGCTGCATAAAATTTTCCATATATAATTTTTATTTTTTTAAAAGGTGAAAAAATATAATTTTTGGTTTCATAGATTAAATAAAAACCTGCAAAATCAAACATGAAGCCAAGATGGTGTGTAATGATATCATCAAGCTTGCTCCTGAAAGCCTGTATTTTTTATAAAACCAAAATTCCAAAATTTTAAATTCTACTTTAAGAAAATTAAATATGAAATCCCTGTTACTTTGTTTAACTTCCTGTTGTTTACCAAATTTATCTGGCTTTGTTGGTCCTTAGACCATGTAAAAAGACTTTTTTGCCCTTTTCAGTTATTTTAGATCTTTTTTTATACAAAGTGTTCACATGAGGCAAGTAGAATGCTGCAACTATGGAACCAATATAATTCACCATAAAGCATTATCCCGTCTTCGTTGGGCGAAGCACGAATCGGATTTTCAAATTGTAAGTAGATTTTGTTATAATTTTTTTTGAGATTACTTGTTAACATATTTTATTTTAAAAATATGCAGGCAAATAATTCTTCGAGTAACAAGAATTGGAAAACAGAACAAAGATCAAGAGAATTGGCCGAGATTCAAGATATCAGAGATTCTACTTCATTTTTTCTCCATCAGTTTGTTTCAAATTCAATACACTATTGAATTATTTTTACAACTTTTGCCCAATTAAAACTCTAATTTCTAAAATGCTTATTGCAGTAATCGTAACTCAATATCTTCTCACACATTTGACCTGCATTGGCAAAGTGAAGCTTCTGCTAAACATATCGTAAAGCTTTTGATGCTTGCCACATCAATGACTAAATGTAAGCTTCAATTTGTTTATCAAAAAATATAATTCTGAAAAATTTCAAATATTTGGATTATCTGAAAATCTGAATTATAACAACGTACCTTCTATTAACTCCAATTTTTGTATGTAGGTAGCTAATAATATAAAGTACGTTGCTATAATCATCAGCTGAACATACAAATTACAAAAAATAATGAGATGTTGCTTAGGTTTTCTTTGGAGGATATGTGACAGAAATTCTGTGTAAATCGTTTACAAATATAAAAATTAAATTATACTTTTAGCAAGTTTTAGCAAAGGACTACAATTTAATGAAAAACCAGTTCTAGGAAAGTTCTAGCAAGTGTCCAAAATGCTTGCTATTAAGTGAAACATCGGCAGTTTTTTAAAAATATTTGCAATTTAGTATACTACCTGTTAAGTGTTCCAGCACATTAGCTTGTTTAAAATCAGATACATAAAAAAATAAGGGAATTTACAAATTGAAAAAGATGCAAAACACCAAATGATTTTTTTTTCTAATTGAGTTAAATTATAAAGTAGCTGTCAAATTATCAAAGTAGGATGGCTTAACATGACATGCAAAAGTATAATGCTAGTTTATACACTAATGGTATCTTATGTGCAGCTATCCACAATTTTACATTAATCACAGGTAAAGGAGATGATGGTATTAGAGGTGTTGATGGGGCCCATGGGCCGCCAGTTATAAGGCAAGCTGTTAAAGATCTTGTGAACGATCGTCAAATTGATGTTTGGCATCCAATTATTGATGGTGTGATGAACACGGGGAGGCTTTGTTTTCAATTCAATGGAACTGAGGGTGATTTTACCTTTAAAGATTGAATGGTGTACACTGGACAACTATTTTTGGGGTCGAGGGGAATTTTATTTGGGAGATTTGACATTATATTTTAGGGAAAACGTAGTACTTGAAAAAATTTGTTTCTCACTTCATGGTCCACTGATACTTCATCTAATCATGTCTATACCTTTTGGAACAACACTATTCATATATGTTTTCTTTATTTTGTCTTGCTATGTATTGATTAGGCTGGAGGGAGTGGTGCCACAAGAAACGCACTCCCTCCTTTAACATGTAGGAGCCACATCATTTTTACCACACAAAGTGTGGTTCTTACCTACACCCAGGGAGTGGAAACCATGGTAGAGAAAGAGAGAGGAGAGAGAAAGACACATGAATAAAGAGAGAAAAGAAGAAGGGTGCGACAGTTTTTGGGAGAGGTGCGGCCAAACCGCACCCAAAACCGGATAGGGGGGACGGTGTTTCTGTCTATGTGGCATTGAGTGCGGTTCCACTCCCTTAAGCCTTAATGGCAAAAGTAACGAGACAAGAGTCAATAGCAACGGTCACAATTTTTTAGCATATGATGAACATCATAATAACTTGTGATTTAACGTGAAATAATTTACAATAAGAAGTTAGTCATTTTTTGTTAATTATATTTTATTCACAGCTGAATCAAATGTTATTAAGGTGTAAATCACAGATGAGCTAGTTTCGTTAATTACATTTGATTCTAATGTGAAACAAATTTGAATTGAATATGTAAATCACATGTGAATAACATATTATTCTACTTAACAATCATGTCAAGTGTTGACATAAGGTAAGAAACAAAAATTAATTTCTTAATAATATATTTTTATTACCTAATACAAGTAGTGGTCCGCAGAAGCTATCAGTTCTATCTTTTTCATCCCAATGAAGCTTGCAAACTTTTAAGCAATCAATTATATGTCTACACCAATCTACATCTTTTAATGGCAAAGCTTCATACAAATGAGGATTGTTGTCATTCAAATGAACAAAAGCGAGTTTATGTATTTATGTTATGTTTTATTCATTTAATGCACATATGCATAAGACATATATCTTACATTTTCAACTTTTTACTTTGTTTTCTTGATCTTTGTTTTCACATGTTTTAAAGCTTCTCGATGTTTCACATATTGTCTCTCAAATTCCTTGAAAATTATTCTCCATCTCTTCTATTTTCAATTTTGCAACAACGGGAAGTTTGAAAATGATTTTTTCTTTTATTTCATATTTGATTTACATTTGTTTCAAATGAGTTATATAAATCAAAATAATCACAGATGAATTACATATGATTCACATGTAAATCACATATGAATTACATATGAATTACAGGTAATTCACATATGAATTACATGTAAATCACATATGAGTTACATGTGATTTACATGTAGTTTACATAAAAATTACATGTGATTAACATGTAAATCAGATGCAATTTATATACAAATGACATGTGATTCACTTGTAAATCACATATGAATTACATGTGATTCACTTGTAAATCACATATGAACATATGAATTACATGTGATTCACATGTAAATCACGTATGAATTACAGGTAATTCACATATGAATTACATGTGATTCACATATGAATTACATGTGATTCATATATGAATTACATGTGATTCACATGTAAATCACATATGAGTTACATTTGATTTACATGTAGTTTACATACAAATTACATGTGATTAACATGTAAATCAGATGCAATTTATATACAAATGACATGTGATTCACTAGTAATTTACATGTGATTCACTTGTAAATCACATATGAATTACATGTGATTCACATATGAATTACATGTGATTCACATGTAAAACACATATATGAATTACATGTGATTCACATGTAAAACACATATGAGTTACATGTGATTCACATGTAAAACACATACAAATTACATGTGATTAACATGTAAATCAGATGCAATTTATATACGAATGACATGTGATTCACTAGTAATTTACATGTGATTCACTTGTAAATCACATATGAATTACAGGTAATTCACATATGAATTACATGTAAATCAGATGCAATTTATATACGAATGACATGTGATTCACTAGTAATTTACATGTGATTCACTTGTCAATCACATATGAATTACATGTGATTCACATGTAAATCACATATGATTTAAAGAGACATTTTTTTGAATTGGCTATACAAAAATTAAAGTTAACATGGTAACAGATTAAATGTAATGATTTGACTATACAAGGTTGATTATTTTGTTATTATGGAAGAGTTTAAATAAATAATAGTACCAGAATAAGTCCGATTATATTTGTTTGTTGCTCATAGTAGACAAGTATCCTGCTATGCCCTTTCTCCAAAATGATATTCATCAATTCCGTGTAATGATTTTAAGTTTTAAAGATTAAAAAAAAAATATATCAAGGTATTGACCATGTCAATGAGACTAATTGATAAAATTTTAGTCTCACCCAAAAAGATGTAATAAAATGGAGCACGTTTTATATTGACAAAAAAAAAACCCGGACAAGAGGTAAGAAACAAATGTTTTCAGTTTTCTTGGTATGATGGAATGTAATCGTTTATTCCATTCCTTTCCAAATTTGATACAAGTAAAACTAAAAATGAATTATATGTTATTCAGATATGAAGTGCATAAGTATGTTTAAATATAAATCAACTGTTGAACTTTTAATTATTTTATCTTATAGATAAAGGAAAAAAGAAGAAAACTATTGAAGATTCAACAAAAAAGAAAGACCAAGACAGAGTGAAAGTTATAAAAATTGGTGGAACATCTGCAGAAGGATCGAATTTACAAAAACAAAACAAACCAGAGAAATGTGCTACTTCAAAATGCAAAAAAATTGAAAAGAAGAACAAAAAAGTAAACAAAATAGATGGAAGTTCAAAAAAAAGAAAAAAATCAGTTGAAATTCTTGTTTCAGAAAAAGAAGAAAATTCCATTAGATAAAAATCTTTATGGAATGAAAAATAGATGTTCAACAGAATCTTTATTTTCAGTTATTCAAGGTTTAAGCAAAGAACAACAAGATTGTGTGAAGTCTATGGGATTTGGCAGTTTACTTAAAATGAAAATACAAACGTACCATCAAGAATATCATTCTATATGGTGAATAACTTTGATAGAACACGAATGGTTATAAAAGTGGAGAAAGGAGATATTATGGTAACTAGAGAATCGCTTAATGAAATGCTGGGAATTCCAATGAATGGAAAAAGAATTGAAGAACTTGGTTATAGAGATCGTTCAGATACATGGTATAATAATTGGGCTATACAATTTGATGATGTTTTAAATTTGAGAATGACACAACTACGAAATTCAATTGTGTCTACATCATTAGCTGATATGAATTTCATAGTTTTGTTTGTAAATACTCTTTGTGAATCAAGTTCAAGCGGTGTATGCAACATTAACATATTAAAGCACATATCAAGTGGAACTGATATCAAAAGTATTGATTGGTGCTCATATGTTTTGGATTGCCTCATCAACATGAGTAGTTCATTTGAACCTTACAATGATAAAAAATACTTTTTCGGACCTTCTGCACATCTCTTGGTAAATTAAAATTCTATATTATACTTTAAATACAATATTTTATTATTTATTTATTAATAAATTATTGATTTTACTAATTTGTATATATGCAGTTGTTGTATCTTGACAATATTGATTCTGATGAATTAAAGGTTGAGCGGACAAGACCAGTCATTTGTTATTGGAGCTCAGAAAAGATAAAATATCGTGAAAATCTGGAAATGACTATTGGAAGATTTGGTTTTGGAGATATAAATCCTCCTTTTGTAACATAAGATTGTAAACAATCTTTTGTTGATTCTGGAAGTGATTTTGAATGTAATGAAGAATCAATTGAATGTAATCTCAAGGTAAAAAAATATTTATTTAACTTATGCTCATCTGATAAAATACTTTTGTTACTATAATATAAATTACATTTTGTTGTAGGATTATGAAATACAAATATTGAAGCTTCTAGATTGTGGAAGTTATTGTAAAAGAAAGTTGATTTTATTAGTTGATCAAGCAATATCAAAGTTTCCTGGCGTACAAAGTATACAAGAATTAAAAAGTAGAGTGGAAGAATTTTTGGGACTGAGTGTTTCCACTTTGAATGTCAATAATAAGAATGAAATTTCAGAAACATATAAAGTTGATGATGCTTTGTTTAAAAAAGAAGTTGGTGACCATGTTCATTATAAAGTTGTTAAAGAAGAAACAACCCATGCTGAAAAAAAACATAATTTTCAAAAAATCATTTTCAATGTTTGAAGAAGGATCGTCATCAAAAGTTGAAGAAGGAACATCAACAATAGATATTGAAATTAATTTTGGAGAAGGTCAGCAACAATCTGTGGTTTACTTGTGATTTACATATGAATAAATGATATGGAAATTAAAGTGGAATTTACAAAGTGAATTAAATGTAAATTACTCGTGAATCACATGTAATTTTTCTACAAAAATTACATGTGAATCACATGTAATTTTTCTACAAAAATTACATGTGAATCACATGTAATTCATATGTGATTTACATGTAAATCACATATGTGATTTACAAGTGAATCACATGTAAAATACTCAGGAATCACATGTTATTCGTATATAAATTGCATCTGATTCACATGTTAATCACATATAATTTGTATGTAGATTACATGTGAATTACATGTAATTCATATGTGATTTACATGTGAATCACATGTAACATGTCATTCGTATATAAATTGCATGTGATTTACATGTTAATCACATGTAATTTGTATGTAAATTACATGTCAATCACATGTAATTCATATATGATTTACATGTAAATCACATGTAATTTATATGTGAATCACAATTAATTCATATGTGATTTACATGTGAATCGCATGTAATTCATATGTGATTTACAAGTGAATCACATGTAAATTACTAGTGAATCACATGTCATTCGTATATAAATTGCATCTGATTTACATGTTTCACATGTAATTTGTATGTAAATTACATGTGAATCAAATGTAATTCATATGTGAATTACTTGTGATTTACATGTGAATCACATGTAATTCATATATGAATTACATATGATTTACATGTGAAACAAATGTGATTCATGTGATTAAAATATGAATTTAATATGATGAACAATGTAATTTTATATAACTAATTTTGGAATAATATATTCTTTTACAGATGTATCAGATTCTCAATTTTGGGACAATGAAGAAATTCAACAAGCTCTTCAAAGAGATATTGAAATTCAAACAGAGAATGTTAAAAAAGATATGTCCAACACAAAATGTGATTATTTTGATAATGATGAAGACTTTTGGAACAATCCAGAACTTTACAAAATGGCTGATTATTCAATTGAAGCATTCAAATCTAAAAAGAAATTTCAGAATAGTCCTGTGTTATACTCTGATATTGAGAATACTGAAAGTAAAGATAGATTCATGGAAGAAAGTTTGAGCAAAAACCATATTGTTCTACAAGAAATTAGCAGAATGCCAAGTTTTAGCCTAGTTGTTAGTCAGGAAGATATATCTGATGAACAATTGAATGTTAAATCTGAAATAAAAGAAACAATCAGTTTCAAACTTCCCGTTGTTGCAAAATTGAAGATAGAAGAAATGGAGAATCGCATCAACCATTCTTTAAGATCACCATACAGGTTGATAGAGGTTGAAACACATAAACAACTTACTTGTGATGAAAATATTGTGTGTGATTGGTTGTTTAGCTGCAAAGGAGAACCAATGTAAGTAAATTTGTATTTATTAATTTCTAGATAATTTTTAATAGTGATGTTCTTTTTTATTTTTGAAGAAAAATAAAATATTAACATATTCTTTATTTTTTGTATATATTTATTATTGTAGTGATGAAGTTATAAAAACAAAAAGAGGTGATACTACAATTAGAGTAGCAATGAAGAGTTTACTTCCATCATTTGAAATAACTGTAGCTGTTCTTGATTGTTGGTCTGATCATCTTAATTATGATGATAATGCTCGGCATGCTAATTCACCATCAAGAGTTTTTTGTAAAGTGACTACTACTGTAAGTTAACAAAAAATTATGGTTTAAAATTTATCATAAAAATTAAATAAGTTTATTTAAATATTCACATATGATTGTAAAATTTGTATTTTTAATAACATGTGGATATATTAAAAATAATATTTCTGAAATAAATATTATTACTGCAGTCAAATATTAATTATATAATATTAACTAATCATTTTTTCTTAGTCTTCATACTTGGAGCTATATTCATACACTGATGAAAGTAGATACGCATTATTCAAAACAAATATGCTTGATAGTCTTGGGTGCTGTTTGTTTTTTCTGATGCAAAATGTCTGCAGTCTGCGGACCACATCTGTAGACCTCTGCAGTAGAAGAGGTAGACCAAACGTCTGCAGTCTGAAAATAGAAGACTGTTTGTTTTTTTAACATCTGCGGGCTACTAAAATAAACTGAAATCTAAATGAACTGAATTTTTTAAACTTCAAAGTGATTTTTTAAATATTTTTAGGACTTTGTTATAAATAATTAACAAATCTAGATCAACTTTTATCTATTATTGTATAAAAAATAAAAATAAAAATGGTATGAATTAACTTATATATTTGATAAAAACCAACAACTTTGGTTGTAAAGTTATAACTAAATATTATAATTAGGGATCAAAGAATTTGATACATAAATGGATGAAAATAAACTTCAAAATTTTCAATTAAATCCATTAAAAATGTACCATAAATATTTTCTCGAGAAATTGACGATACTGTATTAAATAATGTTTTACAAAAATTGGCAAAAAAATATAAGAATATATTATGATTTTTTTTTCATATTTATATAAACAACTTCAACGACTATTATTGTAATAAATCTTTATTTATAAATTTGTCAAAAATATCATGTTTGTATCGACGAACATTTTTTTTTAAGTTTTGTACTTTTTTTCAAATTTTTTATCATTAATAAAGTTGGAAAAAATATAAATAAAAAAAAACTTAAAAAAAATGAAGCTATATGTGTTTTTTTAAGCTAGAAGATGTCTGAGTATGTTAGAAGACTCTGGTCCACATCTGCGCCAAGAAGAGGACGCACATACATTTTTAGGTCTGCAGTCTTCAAAAAAACAAACAGTCTGCGAAGGCTAATGTCTGCGCGTGGTCTGCGCGGCGCAGACAGAAGAGGCCACACAGATCTGCAGACAAAAAACAAACATCACTTTGGTGAGGATGAAGATAGAAGACTGTTGAAGAAAGTTGATTATGTAAGATATTTAAATTAATGAATTCTTAAATTTTCTTATACATAAAAAATAAAAACCAATTTATATAATTTCAGGTTTTCTTCCATGTTATACGAAAGGAGAGTACTTTTCTAGTTGTATTCAATCTAAATTCAACTGTTTACGAGATTATTGATAATGTTTCTGGAACTATACATGAAGTCGTTTATGATGATCTTGCAGAAAATCTTGTAAGTGTAATTTAAATAAAAGTTTTGTCATATTATATATTTATTACTTTTTTCTTACAGAAAAAAATGTTTACAATGTTTTTGAAGGATATTCAACGCTCATCTGCTACAAAATGTAGTTCTGAATCTATGAAACTACATATAACTGATTTGCCATGGAAGACAGTAAAAAAAACTAATGATAAAGGAATTTTTGCAATGCGTCATATGGAAACTTACAAAGGAAAATTATTAAGGAAGTGGAACACTGGTTTGTTAGAAGAAGGTCCTAAGCAAAAGACTGTACTTAACAAGCTTAGATATAAATATGCTGCAAAGATGTTGTTGTCTGATTTGAACATACACCGTGACAAAATTATTCATCTTGCAAATGAATACCAAAAAAATATCCGATATTGAAAGAAAAGAAGACATGAGGAATGCAGTCTCAAATCTTAATGAAAGATTAAAAAATATTTATTAATATATGTATTCAAAAAATGATTTGATACTTTCTTTGAAAGATTGAAATTTTTTTGTTAGTTTTAATGTACTTTGAATTTTATATTCATTTGAAATTTATTATTATTGGTTTTTATTAATAGTTATTAGATTTCAATTTGTATTCATCCTATTCATTTATCTACAATTTTATGAATTAATTGTGATTCACATTTAAATGAACATATATCCCAACATGAATGAGCGTAACATATTTCTGATTCATATTCACATATAAAATACTAAATTATTTTGATTTATATAACTCATTTGTGTTTCTAAATTGATTAATATGTAATTTATTTGTTATTAAAATGGAACTCATTCATATGTGAATCAAATTTGATTCTCCTCTAAATGTAATTAATTCTGATTAATATGTTATTAACACGTGATTCAAAAAATGATTAATATGCGAGTTACACTAAATTTAACTGGACAATTTTAGGTTATTCATATTGTTAAGTGGATCTTTGTTCAGTTTTTCAGTCTTTCATTTAAATGTGAATATATTCATATTAACATATGTAATTCATATGAATTACATATGAATTCACAAGTAATTCACTTGTGATTTTGTAACGCCTGGGTTTCGGGGCTAAGCATTTTAGACGATGTAATAGTCTAGGTCAACTATTGTAACTCTTTTGATGTAATAAAGATGAAATATTTGAGTATTTTGTGAATTATGTGAATTTATATGCTTATTGTTTAATTATAAATGTATAATTAATAAAGAATAAAAATAAGCGTCAAAATTAAAGTATGAGATAAGCCCGATATCTTTACATAAAGTTATAGTGATCGAAACAAGGATTCCGGAGATATAAAGAACGCCGAAATCCGAGTTATAACGAAGAAGTTATGACCCGTCGAAGTTTCGCAATGGAACCGACACGATACCGGGAAGCGTAAATAGTGAATTTACGATAAAGCGATTTTTAGCCTTAGCGATCTAAACGAAAGTCGTAGAAAACGTTAAACCGAGAGCGTCCATAAAAAGAACGCCCAAATTTGACTTCGTATGAGGAAGTTATGATTTTTCGAAGTTTCGGCTTAGCAATGTACAGCCCGAAGTTCGAATATTAGATCGAGCGGTTTTTAGCTGACACAACCTAAACGAGAATCGAAGATCTCATTAATAGTAGCGTAACGATAAAAAGACAGACGAAAACGGACGTCGGATGAAGAAGTTATGAATTTTTAACGGACCAATCCTGTCCCTGCCTGTTAAAAATATAACTTTTAAAATAAAATCAAAATTAGCCGACGGAGTCTAAACGAAAGTTGTAGATTACATTCCCGCCTACGCGTGGATATAAAGAACGTCGAAAACGAAGCTCGTACGCGAAAGTTACGAATTTTTAAAGTTTGTAGTCGAAGTTGCGAAACTATGATGACGTGGCAAGATCTTAGCCGTTGCTTGCTCCCCACGGTCTCGCATCCGATGAACGCCACGTCGCCTCGCCTTCGCTCTACGCCCCGCGTCCAAGGCTGGTACGCCCAGCGTACCTTCGGACCTGATCCTCTTGCGAGTGCGAGCTGGCACCCTTATCCGAAGTTACGCCTCGCGTAACTTGCTGAACGCCCCGCGTAGATCCGAAGTTCGGCCCCTATAAATACCCTGCGAGGGCTGCCGAGGAAATCACTCATTTCTTCATTCCTTTCTCTCTCTACTTTCTTTCACTACCCATTTTAACCCCCTAAACCCTAGGAAAAATCCCTAGCACCCTAAGGAAGCCCCGAGGCTCCCGGAGTCCCGAGAAAAATGGTCTTTCGGTTCGGAAACGCTGCTCCGAGCAAAACCCGGTTTTCTTTAAAATCCGCTGTAAGTGAGCTACGCCTACGCAATTTTGAATATAACTTTTAAATAATTATAGTAATGTTATTAGGTCCTTAAAATAATTATTTGGGCTATTTATTATGAGTTATATTGAGTGTTATTTAACGCTTATATAATAATAATAATAATAGCTAGACTATTAATTAGTCGCGGTTAACGTTAAAACTAAACTCTAGTGGTATTAATACTAGGTTTTGGTCAAGGAAAAATTGTTTTGAGATAACGAAGTGCTGTTCAAGTACCGAGTCACCACCTAATCAGGTGAGTGCATAATTACTTTCATCTTACACATAGATATGAAGTATTTTATATAAATTACGTGCTATGTGTGCATATTATCTTAATACTTGCTGTCTATGTTGGATGAATGATTTTATACACGTTTTTCGTTATTTAAACTGTATATGTATTTTATATCTACAAAAATGTTGGGGTAAAACATGGGTAGATGTAATAAGACGATGTGTGATAAAATGATGAGAGGCCTCGATGTTTGGTGATCCAGTCATCTAGCGGAGTATAGATGACGACCACGGACTCTTCTAGACAGTCCAGTGGAACGCTAGCAGTCTCGCAACCTGTAGGTGTTTGTGAACGATGTGTTCACCGGTGTACTCCATCCCCCTCATGGTTGCCTTTAGGACATTTATTGCTGAGGAACCCCCTTAGCAGTAGTGTCCATACCGATGATGATCCTTAGGCTAGGTCCCTTATGATAGGTGTTTAGGGACGTAAAATGAGGATAACGGGAACGGGTAATCGGGTTATTGTTGATTGATGAAATTAATAAACCTATTTATTGTGCATTAACATTCACATTCTTGAAGATCATAATATCTAATTTATAAAAAGTTGTGTTTCAAATACAACATTTTGGAAGATCATAATTTTCACTGCCTTCTTTTTCAACAACATATGCTCTGATGGATTATGTATATAAGTAAAATATGTTAATGATTGTATATGATTGTACAAATTTATTCTTAATAATCATAAATAATTTAGAAATACATACTCATCTTTTCCTCATGCTGCAGTTTCTTTTTCACAATCAGGGACATTTTTGTCTTTTTTGTACTTCTTTAAAGAAGAAGATCTTTTGGCAACTTTGGCAACAAATTCAGCATTTTGTGGAATTCCTTGACCATATTACTGATTCTTGAAGACCTCGTCTTTTTGATCTCTTCCCCTATTGCAAAAGTGAACACAATTCTCATTATACAAATGATATTTTAAAAAATCATATGTGATTTAGTAATAATTTTTTAATAAATAATATTTCGATTTTGTTACCTTGTCCTTGAATGCTTTTGCCTCCCATATACTTTTTTTGTACATCATTTATATCTCCACCTTGATTATTCTCACAGCCTTCAACATCTTCATCATCATTAACTTTTTCATTATTATGATCATCATTAACTTCATCATCATCATCATTATCACCTTCATTTTCTTCATTATCACCACCTTTATCATCTTCATTATCTTCATCATCTCCATCCTCATCATTTAAAATTTCTATGAAACTACTTTTCAAATGATTTAATATTGTATTTTGTGGGAAAGTATAAATTCCATTATCAATCAACAATTTGAACTTCCTACACTTCATCAGAATCATTTCTTGATAATCCTAAATAAAAAATAATTTAAAGTTTATATAAACATAAATAATAAAAGATTACGACTATTAAACAATGAAATTTTATTATTATTATTATTATTATTATTATTATTATTAAATTTACCTTCTCATTCAATTCTTCTTGTATGAATTCTTCATTCAATTCCCCTGTTCCAAATTCACCAATCTCTTCTTTCTCATAATCTTCTCTCATCTTAACCTTCTCTGTAGTCCAGTGGCATATGAGTGGACGTGTTCTCTTAACTTTTAAAACTGCAGAACTCACTCTATCTACATAAAGTAACTACAAAAGAAAAAATAAATTTCAATTTGAATATCTGTTATAAATATGAAAATCATATTTGACCAAATAAAATTGCTTTTATAATCATATATGATTATAGCTATGAATATTGAGATAAAAATTTGATTAAAAAAATATTAAAATAAAAGATAAGTTATTATACATACCACTAAATAAGCACATGGTCCATTAAAAAAGGATGTCGAAGAGGGTTGATCAAATGATTCTTTGGTTTTAACCAAACTGTCTATCAAATATGAGCACCAATCAATGTTTTTTATTTCTGTCTTTTTCGTTATGTATTGAATTGGGTAGATGTTTGCTTTGCCAGATGAGCTTGATTCAATCAAAGAGTTAATCAACAATGCTAAAAATTCAGCTTAAAGTTCATATCTGATTTGTCGCTCGAAACAATCTTCATCTTTATCTCCTTAAGTCGAACAATGCTCTTGTTATCAAATTGTTCTGTCCATTTCTCATAACTGTTATCATCTGCAGTTCTAAATGGAAGATTTGAAAATTTTGTCTTTCCTAATGGAAATCCAAGTATTTGATTGACTGACTGTCTAGTAACATCAATCACACCTCCTTCCACAACAATTTTCTTTGTTTTTGAATTAAATTTCTAAAGAACAAAACAACTTAATGCCCCTGGCACATCTATCATCTTCATCTTTAGAAGATCCCCAAAACCCATCTTTCTAACATAATCCTTTTGAACATCACTGAATCCTTGTATAACAGATAACAAAGATCCAGGTGAGCACCTATCATCAAATACAACAATTAATTAATTAGTTTAATTTACATTTCATTAAACAAAATAAATTACACTTTAACTAAAAACTATAAAGTACATTATAATGTATTGTCCTTTTCAAACTAATATGTTATTAATTTTAAATTTTCATTTGAATATTATGTAAATTATAAGTTGATTCATATGTAATGTAAAATTAATAATTATATGTCACAAGTCTAATGATATGTGATTGATTTCAAAAACTTTTCATAATAAAAATATATCAAACTACCAATGCTTTCTCTAATTGGGTAGGCTACACTTTTCAAACTACAATACTATGAAACACATTCTTATTCATATGTGATTCAGATATGATTATTACATTCTTGTTTTTTTTTCATTTTACCATAAACACAAAAGACAAAGCACTGGGTATTTCGTTATATGTTTCTTACTAACATTTGAAACACATGAAAACCACCGGACTAATCATATGTGATTGATTTCACAAAGTTGTCTTCTATAATATATGATTTTAGTTATTCATATATTAGTAAAACATTTTTTATATTTTAAACCAAATGTTAATCACATTTGGTTTAAAACATAATTTATATTTTAATCATAAATGTATACATGTTTCGGATTGTATCAAATTCTTTATTTACGTTCTTGTTTTTACTTTTCTTTATCTGATTTGTTTGAGACACAGAATCTTGATTTTCATCAATTTTTTCTTTCTTATTAAAGAAACAATATTTCTCTTTCTTCTCCTCTCAAAACTTTTTTCTTCGGGTACATTCTTTGATGATTCTTTTTGTTCAGTAACTCCTTTTTCGTTTGGTTTAGGGCTCTCTGGTATGAATAAACATAAGTATAATCAGAAAATTCCATATAAAAAACAAATCAATTTATTATACATCAAAAATACCTTTTTTATATAACCTTCTTGCTGTTGATTTTGTGAATCGTTTCAAAGTACTCTCCTTTTCAACATTTTCTTCTTTATTTTTGTCTGTTATGTATAAAAAAATCATATATCATTAAAAAACATAAAATATAATATTTCCTTTTTTTGGTTCATATGCATGTACAAATCGAGATTACTAAAGTCATTTTCAACGGTCAAAATATAATAATAAACGATCTTTAAAAATTTAATGAAAAATTCAAAAAAAAAGTCAATAAAAAACACTATATCACATTTAAAACTAAAATTTATTAACACAAATAGTTCAAAAACAGTTTGGATTTCAAAATCTAGTAAGTCAAACTCAAGTATGAATTTAAAGTTGATTTACAATTAAAAAAAATTATATAATACGTAGTTTTTTACCTTGATAAGAACGACCTGTTCTCGTTGACGACATTTTTGATTCTATCAAAGCCCTTTCCTTTCGATTCAGCAATTATCGAAGAATATTTATGGATTTTTTTTTTAGGAATTAGGGCTTTAACTTCGTAAAGTATGGAGAGAGAGGGACAGAGATACAGAGAAAGAAAAAGAGATAGAAAAAGTCATTATCGAGAACACAAAGTATTTATGTTCAAAAGTGAACGAGTTTCATTTCATTTTCATTATTACCCCTGTGTTTTTTATATACTTCGACTTTACATCCACTTTTTTATTTAATTAAAAATCTGCCCCTAAATTTTAACAACATATGAATAAAAATTATTTAATCTTATGGCTTGTTTTATAGTTTTACTTTCTTATTTATTATTCATTATACATTTTTTCATTTTATATTAAAAAATTTCAATTTGTAATATGTTGTTCTGATTTACAATAATAAAATTTATAAGTAACATTTTCAAAATTATTAGGCTTTAATTTGTAATATGTTGTTCTGGACTAAAAAGTAAATAATCATTTTACTCTTATATTTATAATGAAGAATGATTTTTTTATGATCTATTTGGAAATTTGTATTTTTTATTTATTTATTATTATTATTATTATTGGAATTGTTGCTAATCACAAACGAGGCTTTTTGCCATCAAGTCCTAATTACAACTGATTCTCATGTAAATATAATTCATTCTGATTTGTATGATAATAACATTTAGTTTAATTTTCATGAACATGATATAATTATAATTTGATTCACATGTAAATATAATTCATTCTGATTTCTATATCAACTTTTTTATACAGATAGCAATGTATTTTTATCTAAAAAAGAAATGTATTTTCTTTCTAATATAAAATTTTTGAGCTTCCTATACATTCTGTAATCTTTGCTTAATCATATTCTTAGCCATATATCTTTCCCTTTTCCTTACACTTTCTTCAACCTTGTTGTATTCTTTTGCAAGCTCAAGAATCTTGGAAGCAATTTCATTAGTTTCAGAAAATATCAACTTTGCAGCATATTTACATCTAAGAACATTTAGAGTTTCTTTTTGAGCAGAGTTTTCTTTTCCAAATCCAGAATTCCATTTCCCATCTTTTTCTCCCATATAGGTCTCCATATGGCGCATCGTGAACACTCCACAATCACATTTATTTTTTTTGGTTCGCCAAATCATTTTAATTCTTTTAGGCTTAAGGTTTTCATCACTCATTTCTTCAGCTTTTGAATGGTTAATATCATTAAGATATAAACCAAACATTTTTTTCTGTTAATTAAAAAAATATAAAAAATTTAGATATATAAACATAAAAAATATAATTAAAAAAAATTAGAAAAAATTTGATGTATACTTATAAGATTATTAACTATTTTACCATATCTTCCTTCAAAATCATTTTCACCAGCTGTACTGTTGTCAATTACATCTATACTTGGTTTAGATAAATTGAACACAATAACATATATATGAAAACCTTGAACAATAGGAAAGAACACCTACATTTTATTTTTAATGTTATAATTAAATAAAATATAATTCAAAATAAATTTATCAATAACAATTAGTTTTAGAACATACCAAATCAATTCCTTCCAGATTTCTTCTATTCTTGTCTTCACCAACATCACATTCAAAATTACTTTTAAGAATTTCATATTTTTGATCAACATCCATAGTTGTTCAACTAATATAGAAATTCTGAAATAGAAATAATATATAAATTTAATCATTAGTTGTTTTAAAACAAAAAAAGTTTAAAAAAAAAATAAAACAACTTAATATATATACTTACATTCATTCATATGTGAATTACATATGATACATATCTGAATAACATTCACATGTAATTTGTATGTAAATCACATATGTGATTTACAAGTGAATCACATGTAATTCATATGTAATTTACAAGTGAATCACATGTCATTCGTATATAAATTGCATCTGATTTACATGTGATTCACATATATTTCATATGTGATTTACATGTAAATCACATATGTGATTTACAAGTGAATCAGATGTCATTTCTATATAAATTGCATGTGATTTACATGTTCATCACATGTAATTTGTATGTAAATTACATGTGAATCAAATGTAATTCATATGTGATTTACATGTGAATAACATGTAAATCACAATTCATATGTGATTTACAACATGTAACTCATATGTGAATTAATTGTAATTCATATGTGATTTACATGTGAATCAAATGTAATGCATATGTGATTTACATGTGAATCAAATGTAATTCATATGTGATTTACATGTGAATCACATGTAATTCATATGTGATTTACCTGTAATTATTCATATGTGATTTACATGTGAATCACATATAATTCATATGTGAATTAACTGTAATTCATATGTGATTTACATGTGAATCACATGCAATTTGTATGTAAATCACATATGTGATTTACATGTTAATCACATATCACATGTAATTCATATGTGATTTACAAAATGAATCACATGTCATTCGTATATAAATTGCATCTGATTTACATGCGATTCACATATAATTCATATGTGATTTACATGTAAATCACATATGTGATTTACAAGTGAATCACATGTCATTCCTACATAAATTGCATGTGATTTACATGTTAATCACTTGTAATTTGTATGTAAATTACATGTGAATCAAATGTAATTCATATGTGATTTACCTGTAATTCATACTTGATTTACATGTGAATCACATGTAACTCATATGTGAATTAACTGTAATTCATATGTGATTTACATGTGAATCAAACGTAATTCATATGTGATTTACATGTGAATCACATGTAATTCATATGTGATTTACCTATAATTCATATGTGATTTACATGTGAATCACATGTAATTCATATGTGAATTAACTGTAATTCATATGTGAATTAACTGTAATTCATATGTGATTTACATGTGAATCACATGCAATTTGTATGTAAATCACATATATATGATTTACATGTGAATCACATGTCATTCATATATAAATTGCATCTGATTTTCATGTGATTCACATGTAAATTACTCGTGAATCACATGTCATTCGTATATAAATTGCATCTGATTTAAATATTAATATGTAACTCATATGTGAATTACCTGTAATTCATATGTGATTTACAAGTGAATCACATGTAAATTACTAGTAATTCATGTTAATTACTTTTTGAATAATGTATTCTTTTACAAATGTATCCGATTCTCAATTTTGATATAATGAATAAATTCAACAAGCTCTTCAAAGAGATATTGAAATTCAAACGGGAGAATTTTAAAAAATATTTGTCCACAAAATGTGAATATTTTGATAACGATGAAGACTGAAATTTAAGAATTTTAAAAAAGATTTGTCCAACACAAAATGTGAATATTTTATTCAAAAAGAAATTAGCGGGATGCCAATTTTTAGCCTAAGTGTTATTCAGGAACATATATGTGATGAAAAAACAAAAAATTATTTGCAAACTTCCCGTTGTTACAAAATTGAAGATAGTACAGATGGAGAATCACATACATCTGATTAAAATCTTATGTTTATATATACTTACAGTCATTCCTGTTGTGCAGAAAACTCTGTTTAGTGAAGACTGATTATTTTTTTGAAGCTCAATATGATTTAGCAAATCTGACCATGTGTCCAAAACATTAGAAAAAAGTTCCATGTTTGCAAACAAACTTTCCATCATGAATCATTCTATTTCTATTCCAGACTTTGAGATAATAACTGCATCACTGTATATATAAAAAAGTTAAATGTTAAAACTTAAAATAAAAATAATTCTTTTAAATAAAATATAATACATTAAAAATAAAATTTGTTACCTTGTTTCTCCTTTAAGATTAAATAACCATTGACAAATCATAAATTCTTCTTCAGTTAATTCTGATTCGATATCAACAATTCTATTGACATCAACATTTCTCTTTTTGTTAAAAACAAATTTTAATTTTTTTTGCAGATTGTTCTTGAACAACTGCAGAAGATGTCTGAATTGTATCAATTGCAGAAGATGTTTGATTTGTATCAACTGCAGAAGATATTTGAATTGTATCAACTACAGAAGATGTTTGAATCGTATCAATTGCAGAAGAATCGTATCAACTGCAGAAGATGTTTGAATCGTATCAACTGCAGAAGATGTTTGAAGTCTATCAACTGCAGAAGATGTTTTAATTGTATCAACTGCAGAAGATGTTTGAAGTGTATCAACTGCAGAAGATGCTTGAAAACTTTTTCATTTGTTGCTAATTTAGATTTCTCTTTTCTTTTATATACAAATAGTTGTTTTTGACAAATTGTATTTGTCATTTCAAAAACAATATCCTTCTTTCCTTCTTCATATATACAAACTTTTCCTTTTTCTCCTCCCTCTTTTTCACCTCCCTCTTTAAAATTACAATCTATGTCCTTCACCAAAAATTGATCAGCATTAAATTCGGCATCTATTTGCTCATGTTGACTTTTCTCTCCTTCCAATACATGCTGGACAATTTGTCCATCAATCTTTTCATAATTCTCAATTAAATTCTCCATTGTGTCTTCCTCAAAAAAATCTTTGGGAACAAAAACAAAATCAAATAATATGTTTTTCCATTCCTTCTAATTTTCATCACTTGGATATTTCATAAGAGCCTCCTTAAGTTTCATCAGCATTTTACTCTTTTTCATATTAATTGTTTCAAACACATCTCCCAAAGTTGACAGATAATCTTGCATATAAAAAATTTAATACAATATATTAATATAAAAATTAACATATTAAAATAAGTTATATTTGATTCACATATGAATAATATGTGATTAAGATGTAAATGAGATGTAAAACTAGTTATGATTTACATTTAAAATATATTTCTAAATAACATGTCATTCAAATATAATAAACAATTTACATTAAAATCATATATTTTAGTCAGATGTGAATTAGATATGAATTGATTGTAGATAATATATAAATAATATATGAATATATAAATTACATACAAAACACAAATTAAATATATTTGATTCACATGTGAATAACATATGATTCTCATGCTAATCAGATCTGAATGACATGTGAATAACAATGCCAATTACAACTGAATCACATGTGATTCTTATTTGAATTATATACTGAATAGTATGTGAATTACAAAATATTATGAAATGAGTTACTTCTCCATAGTTATGTTTGATTCACATATGAATAATATGTGATTAAGATGTAAATCAGATGTAAACCTAGTTATGATTTACATGTAAAATATATTTCTAAATAACATGTGATTCAATTCTAATAAAGAATTTACATCATAATCACGTATTTTAATTAGATGTGAATTATATATGAATTGAATTTGGATAATATATAAATAACATGTGAATATATAAATTACATACAAAACACAAGATTATATTTGATTCATATGTGAATAACATATGATTCTTATCCTAATCATATATGAATCACACATGAATAACGATGCCAATTACATCTGAATCACATGTTATATTTCTGACAACCTCAGATGCCAAAACACAAGTTAAAATAACTTATATTTTAAATTTGTCTTAATTTAATCAGATGTGATTATAACTATAATGATCAATATATAAAATGTTTTTTTAACTAAATTTAATAATAATTAATCATAAATGTATAATAATAAGATTTTTACCTCAACTTTTATATCCTTTGTATTTTGCAGTCTTTGAAGAACCTTTCCGGTTCCAAACATCCCAACTTCAATCTCACGCTTTTCTCTTTGACTCAATTTGTGAGAATTCCAGCTTTTTATTGCTGGACGTAGACGAGCAGCATTTTCCCCATCAAAATGAACATGGTCAACATACAACAACTACATACAGAAAAATTAATTTAAATTATTTACATAGTAAGTAAAAATTATTTAATATTTTTTTACATTATATACATTATTGATAACAAAATATTACTAGTAAGTATGTGACCGGTCCACTGAAATAACTCTTGTTTTTGGATACTGAATATGATCTCGTCTTTGTAATCAATGATTCAATCATATAAGAACACCCATTGATCTTCGAAAAATATGTATCACTTGATATTTTTTTCAATATCTTATCATTTAATTTCCCCATTGATGTAGCTTCAACCAGTGTGTTACAAAACAACACAATGAAATTCAATTTGAAATTGAAATCAGCTTCTTTTGTTGAAATAATTGCATTTACGATATCTTTCAATTTGATGTTGTTTTTATCAGCAAATTGCTTTATCCACCTATTATAACATTGATCATCTTTAGGTCGGAATGGAAGTTGATCCACTTCTTTTTCTCCAATTGGAATTCCCAACATCTCATTTACGCTTTGACTATCTACCTTAATTTCACTGTTCATAACTTTTAGTATCATTTTTTCATAATCAAAGTTATGAACAACATAATAGCTAAGTCTTAAAGGTAAATCATAAATTTCCAACTTCAATAAACTTTTAAATCCAAGTTCTTTCACACATTTCTTCTGCTCAAAACTAAGCTTCTTAATAATCTTAAACATTGAATTTGGTGATGCTCTGATACGTAATGTAGTGAAATTCATTTTGTTGTTATTCAAAGGTATCAAAGACGAAGATACTTTCTTCACTTTCTTTAATTTCAATTGACTTTCCTCTTCTTCACACTTGTGTTTTGATTCATCTAAATCAGCTCTTTTTCTTTTCTCCATCTTCATTTTCTTGAAAAATATTTTCCTAAAAAAATAATTGAAAAAGAATTTGAAATGAGTTACTTAATTTTCTTTCATTATATTTGATTCACATGTGAATAACATATGATTCTTATGCTAATCAAATCTGAATCACATATGAATAACAATGTCATTTACATCTGAATCACATGTGATTCTTATCTGAATTATATACTGAATAAGATGTGAATTAAAAAAGAATATGAAATGAGTTACTTCTCCATAGTAATGTTTGATTCACATATGTATAATATGTGATTAAGATGTAAATCATATGTAAACCAAGTTATGATTTACATATAAAATATATTTCTAAATAACATGTGACTCAAATGTATGAAAGAATTTACATCTTAATCACATATTTTACTCAGATGTGAATTAGATATAAATTGAATGTGGATAATATATAAATAACTTGTGAATATATAAATTACATACAAAAACACAAGTTAATTATATTTGATTCACATGTGAATAAAATATGATTCTCATGCTAATCAGATCTGAATAACATATGAATAACGATGACAATTACATCTGAATCACATGTGATTCTTATCTAAATTATATACTGAATAGTATGTGGATTACAAAAGAATATCAAAAGAGTTACTTCTCCTGAGTTATGTTTGATTCACATTTCAATAATATGATATTAATATGAAAATCAGATGTAAACCTAGTTATGATTTGATGTAAATCACATATGAATGACAATGCCAATTACATCTGAATCACATGTGATTCTTATCTGAATTATATACTGAATAATAAAATATGAAAGAAATTATTAACATCTGAATCAAATGTGGTTCAAATAATATTAATATGTGATTCATATGTAATTCAAAAGTAAATATATTTTGTACATCATTTGTCATTCATAAGTAAACCATAATTTATTCATATTCACATATGAATAAAATGTGGTTGAAATATTTCAAACAAATTATGATTCACATTCACATATGAATCAAATATGTCATTCATATGTGATTCAAAAAAGTAACACATGAATAACGTCTAATTGGCATTAACATTCACATTCTTGAAGATCATAATATCTAATTTATAAAAAGTTGTGTTTCAAATACAACATTTTGGAAGATCATAATTTTCACTGCCTTCTTTTTCAACAACATATGCTCTGATCGATTATGTATATAGGTAAAATATGTTAATGATCATATATGATTGTACAAATTTATTTTTTATAATCATAAATAATTTAGAAATACATACTCATCTTTTCCTCCTGCTGCAGTTTCTTTTTCACAATAAGAGACATTTTTGTCTTTTTGAATAGTATGTGGAATATATTTATAAATAACATTTATAAATATATTAATATGAAAATCAGATGTAAACCTAGTTATGATTTAGATGTAAAATATATTTATAAACAACATGTGATTCAAATCTAATAAATTATTTAATGAGGTGAAAATCACAGGTTAACATTAACCAGACGTTATTATGTATATTCATTTGTAAGTATTTACGCTTACTTGTGATTATGTTAATAAAATATGAAACAGGTTATTTACATTATCATGTCTTATTCGAAACCCTAAAATCAAAAACAATACGCATTTGGGATAAAATAAACAGAACAACTTAGGGCTTAAGATTTTCATCAGTAATTCAAAAATAAACTTATTCAAATAAGAATAAAGAATTTATTACCGATATTAAGACTGATGAAATGTGCTTTTTTTTCGCAAACGTTGACTTCGGTTTACAAGAACAATGGAAGCACACCCTGTTTTTGGTTTACAAGAAAGAATGAGCAGAATCCGAGAAATGAGGATCAATATGAATAAAGATAAACTCTGACATATAAAGAATCGAATTTAAATTGAATATAAATTTTTTTAGATTTAATAAACGTCAACAATTTTTGTCGTGACTTCTAAAGAATAAGACAAAATTATTATTTTAATATAGTTGTATAATGTTTATTTTTAATTTTAAAATTTTCTATATAATAAATTATTTTTTCAGAGTTTATTTTATTAAATTATGATTATTAAAATAATTTGTAAATTTAAATTAAAATATTCTTAATGATATTTTAGTTATAAAAATATTTATGAATATAAAATAATTTGTATATTTTATTAATATGTTTTTTTAAGTATTATATAAAGCACATTTCATTCATATAGTATAAAATATACCAAATTTATAGAATTCATATAAAATTTTCTTTTCACATATTCCGTCATATGTATATTAAAATTCCTCCGATAATTCAATTTCATCCACAAACAAAACGTCACCTAATTCAACCAAGATTAAAATCAAATTCTACTACGCTACATAGCAAAAATCATTGAAGAACAACCACACCGAATAAACCTCCTCTTCGACCCAAAGGTCTCCCCGAAACAATCACAGATTCTTCTATTTTCATCAATGTTTTTAAATCCTTATTTTGTTCTTGTTATTAATGTTCATTAAATCTGAATACATTTTTACGTTTATCTTTTTTTTTAATTGATTATGATATCATTTTCAAGGTGTCAAATTTATACTTTTGCAACATAACTTAGAATAAGTAACATTGCTTTATTAGAATCTCAGTTTCTTAGAGCACTAGGTGTGGGCAACTAGATGTAACACCATTTTGGTGACACATCACATGCCACATCATCAATGGTGTTATAACACCAAGTGAGGAAATGAGCAACATGTTGTATCTGGTTATGACACCAACTTTTTTTCCATTTTATAATTTATTTTTTATTTATTTCGATTTTTTTTTAAATTGAGACAAATATTTTTTAAATATAACATAATAAATAAAACATAATGTTTAAAAATTATAAATAACATATAAAAATTTTTAAAGATTAAAATTAACATAGAGACTAAATTACACATAATATCCAAAAACAAAAAAGAAATAACATCCAAATTCAAAAAAAAAAAAAATACAACGCTATTCGTTATCGTTATTGTTACCATAGAAGATATAATCCGTCAAGTCCTCTCGAAGTTGTCTGTGTTTATTTGCGTCCTGAATGTCAACAACGCGATGCAAATAATCTGTTGTTCCTGGTTGAAATTGAACGTGTCTGGGCTCCGTTGGGATATAGTGTGCAATATTTCTCCCTTTATCTTCTACTACCATGTTATGCATTATGATACATGCATACATGATATATCGTAGAGTTTCTAAATCCAATGGTCGTGCTGCATGTTCGACTATATGCCACTTCGCCTTCAGCACTCCAAAAGCATGTTCCACATCCTTACGTGCTCCTTCTTGTCTTCTCTTAAAAAATTTGTCTCGTTCTTCAACCGGGTGGCGGAATGCCTTCACGAATGTGGAATACTGAGGATATATTCCATCTGTAAGGTAATACCCATATTTGTATTCGTTTCCATTCACCGTGAAAGGAGCATCCGGGGCTTTTCCATTCAAAAGATCGTCGAATATTGGCGACTGATCAAGAACGTTGACGTCGTTGTTGGAACCCGCAACCCCAAAAAATGCATGCCAAATCCATAAATCTTGAGAAACGACAGCCTCTAACACCAACGAAGGTGATCCGTGATGACCACTTGCATATTGCCCTTTCCATGCTACCGGACAATTTTTCCATTTCCAGTGTGTGCAATCAATGCTTCCGATCATTCCGGGAAACCCATGGCGTTCTTCATGCGTCGCATACAATTCTTGCAAATCATGCAACGAAGGTTTCCGCAAATACACGTCTCCAAAAGTTTCAACAACACCCCTTGACAATGTATACAAACTCTCTCTTGCGGTTCTTTCGGACATTCTCATATAGTCGTCCATGGTGTCGGGTGACTCCCCCATAGCCATCAAACGAATGGCCGCAGCACATTTCTGCAACGTTGTAAACCCTCGTCTACCTCTAGCATCATATCTTAATTGAAAAAATTCGTACCTAAACATAAATTAACTACCGTTTAAAAATATATTGCATATGTTGTAAAATTAAATAAAACATGTAGTACATTTTTATTTATTTTGTATAAAAGTATAGTAAAGAAGCGATACCGGCTTTCCAAGGCGTTGGCGATTCGTAAGAACACATCCCTACTCAAACGAAATCTTTTTTTGAAGTCCTTCGCCCCGTATACACAATTATCCGCAAAGTAATCGCGATATAGATGTTCGTGTCCTTCCTCGCGATTTCTGTTTAACATCGCACGTCTTGTTAGTAGCGGGGCTGGGTCTGGTTGTAGCAGGTCGGTAGTGTAATAATGATACATCATCCTAAAGAAAATATCGTCATCTGAATCATCGGACGAGTCGAAAGGATCCATATTTTTTTGAAGATAATTGATAATATGTAGAGAGGAGAAGAGAAAAATGTGTGAAATTTTTTTATAAAATGGTAGGTATTTATAGGGTAAATGGTTTTTTTTTTAATAGTTAATTTTTTTTTTAACCGTTGCATTTTAAACGTTAATAAACGTTTAAAATTTACTCGTCGCATCCAGTCGTCTTGGCCACGAGATTCACCCTCGACGAGCAAAAACGAATAGGGGGGGCGGTGTTCCCCGCGTCATAACGGCGTTGAGGGGTGCCACGTCACCCGCGTTTCTTCTCGTTGGACCCGTACAGGATGCTCTTAATATCATCGTAATCCATGTCATCTTCACGGGCGTCGTAATCATGTATTCTGCTAAAAACAGGACCCATATCTTGCAATTCTTTTAATTTTTTTTCCCATATTTTTTTATCTTCCTCATGGTAAGTATGTATGGGATCTTGACCTTTAAGGGTTTTTCCTTTCGGTTGAGCTCCATTCGAGGTTTCCGCATTATACGTTGTTGACTTTTTTTATCAGATCCATTCTTCTTTTTCTTTCGAACCATGATGTGGATGATGAAGGTCTGAAACAGACCAAATGTATTTGATTCGCGACCTGCAATATAAATGCATAATGAAGATGACAAAATGAATTTTCAATGTGTGTTATCCAAAGGATGGAATCCATCAACAATAACAGCAACATAGTTGAGGTTGGCGTAAATATTATGTGCGTTTACACTGGGACAGTGAAACTGGAATTTCCGTTAGGAGTAGAACAAAAAAACATTATGTCTTATTCTATTGTGTATGAATACAAATACAAGAGATCAGCATTGCGTAAGTATAAAGCGGTGAAAAACGAATCGAAAACAGTAGAATAAAAGCATGGTTAGCGAATGACGATTTGTTTACCTAGTGGTAGCCGGTGCTTCTGTACGTGATGAACGACTGAACGAGGGTGGAAGCAGGACGGAGGCTGATTTCGAACTTGTCCATTGTATGAGAGTCGATAGTTACAGAAGGAAGGGCTGATTTCCAACACAAAAAAACTCTATGTTTTCCTGCTTCTTATTCTATTGTGTATGAATACAAAGACAAGAAATCAGCATTGCGTAAGTATAAAGCGGTGAATAAACGAATCAAAACAGTAGAATAAAAGCCTGGTTAGCAATTGACGATTGGTTTACCTGAGACGTCGGATGCTAGTGGTCGCCGGTGCTTCTGGACGAGAAAGCAGGACGGAGCCTAGGGCACGCAGGCCGCAGCGACGGACCTGAAGTGAAGAACTCGATTTGATTTTTTGCGTCTGTATATCCCGCTTCTGCGTTGCATTAAAATGCAAATTTGGTTCAGGGATTTTGTTCAAAATGTTTTTGGAGGCGATGATTGGTCCAAAAAAAGAAAATACCACGGAAATTCCAAAATGAACCTTCGGATATCCTCCAAACTCGGAAGGTTCCTACTGTTTGTTTTTGTTACGTGTTTGGTCCTTGTCTTACTGACTATTTTGCTATTGATCTTTTAATTTATTTAAATAAACACACCACCAACCTCACTCCCCTCATCTTACCTTACAAACCCCATAATTTTTCCCTATTTAAGTAATAGTCTTTTAGGTAAGATAGGGACCAAGCGTGTAACAAAAACAAACAGTAGGGACTAAGCGCGTAACAAAAACAAACAGTAAGGTCCTTCCGAGTTAAAAAAATAAGTTAGAGACCAAGTGTGCAAATTACCCCAAACCATAAGGACGATTCGTGTAATTTACTCAAAGGAAAAAGGAACATCGGATATCATTTTGGTGGGGTGGGGTAGGATCAGTTTGGTGGGGTGGGGTAGGGTAGGTGGGGTATCAATTGTCACTTAAAGGTTCAAAGAAGATATCATTGAACTTCATAAAACAAAATAAAACAAAATGAAGAATAATATATAAAGGACAAAATTGCAAAAATGGTCCCTATGGTATGCATTTTTTTGGGATTTTAGTCCAAATCACGACTTTTTTGGATTGGTGGTCCTTTTGAGGTAGTTTACTTGTAACTTTGGTCCTTTGTTAAACTGAAAAGACTAAAATACCCTTCTGATATATTTTTTATATTTTTTCCTATTAAAGTTTTATTAATAAAAAATATGGACCTCTCTCTCTCTCTCTCTCTCTCTCGTAAACACGCACATACACCCAACTTTGTCTTTCTCCCTCACCTCTTGAAACATTGAATCCACCTCTCCATTACAACCGAAAGCTGCAATTTGCTCCCACCACCACCAGCATTGGCTGCTACCAGCCAAGGTAAATGATTTGCTGACTCTACCCCGCTCAATGCTAACAGATCCACTGATATCCCTTCCTGTCAGCAACCCTAAATCAAATTTGAGGAAAAGAACCCCTACACCTCCATTTTTTCCGGCAACACCACAATCACCACCGATTATCACCTCTCATCCATTTCCTCCCTATTTAGCCTCTCCCGTATTCTCCATCTCATCCCTAACCATATGTAATTTTTCCAAACCCAAATCCTCATATGCGGAGATTGAACCGATGTGAGTGGGGAACTCATTGGCTCTGCAAAAGGAACAACAATGGAGTTGAACCTGAGATAAGGTGGGGACGATAACAGACATTGGTGGCTGACGGTGGGTGGTTCTTTCCCACCACTGATGGTTATTGAACCTCCATGAGCATCATCATCATCATCAAACCCACCACCGAGCACCATTCTCCTACGTATTTCTCATATGCCCCAAACGTGCAACACCATTGCCACCCTATAGCTCTGTCGACCACCATTTAACCATCCATTAACCACCGTTACTACCATCTCAACACCACCTCCTTACACCGCCACCCCTGTTCACAGTCGATTTCAAGAGCTTCTTCATGGATAAATGAAAAGAACACACAGACACACATTCACTTGTAAATCGATTATAGAGTGTGTGTGTGTTTATGTGTTCATCATTTATCTGCAGGTGTGTGGGAATTTGTGTGTATATGTTTTTGTTCCTATAAGTACACTTCGTGGATGACTTAAAGATTTTAAGGCTGCAATACATGATTTATGTATCCCTGGTAACAAGAGTAATGGATCTGCGTCCTTGGTTTAGTGGGTTCGAGCCTAAAAGATATTCGATTGCTTGGAATGTGTAGAAATGGCAATGTGTACCAGGAGAGAGAGAGAGAGAGAGAGAGAGAGAGAGAGAGAGAGAGAGAGAGAGAGAGAGAGAGAGAGACCTTTTTTATTTTTTTTAATTATTAAAATAAATAAATTAGTATTAGATTTAAAAAAAATGAAAGAAAAATGGAAAAAAAATACCCCAAGGGTATTACAGTCATTTCACTATTTGGAGGGACCAAAAACGCAACGAAACTAGCTCAAAAGGACCACCAATCCAAAAAAGTCGTGGTTTGGACTAAAACCCCAAAAAAAATGTATACCACAAGGATCATTTTTGCAATTTTGTCTATATAAAGATTAACATACTTTCAGTTAATTCCGTTTGACTAAACTGCACGAATGGTCTCTGTGGTTTGCTCAAAATTGTCACTTTGGTCCAAAAAGGTTTGGACTAGCACCAGAGGTCCAAACTTTTTATTTTGTTGCGAGTTTGGTCCAATTTGCTATGGACTCTCTCTCTCTCTCTATCTATATCTCTCTCTATCTCTCTCTCTCACTCTCGTGTTTGTGTCTCTTTCCCACATCTTCTTGTTACTTTAAACTTGAAAGAAACCTGCACGCCATGAAAGAAATTTGCAGCCTCCACCACCACCACCGGATCTGAATACTTAGTGCTCTAAATGGTAGGAAATCAACCACCTCCCCCATCGTGTCCATCTCTTTCTCTTTCTGTCATCTCTTAATAACCCTAAACGTGCGGAACTCAGCCGACGCTGCCCAACATATCAGGACCGTCGTCGCCCATCTTAAACTGATCACCGACGATAACCTATTATCCTCATATACGCCGATTTGAAACTCATTGACTGTCTCAACAAATCAGTTGTGTTAGAACCCTAACAACGCCACGATGGAGATTCGCCTTTCCTGATCTGAATATGGCGGTGACCCTAGGGTTTGGTGTGGCTCAGGCGACCTCAACCTTCATCTCTGTCCTTACCCGACGGTAGTGCAGATCTGGTTTCGGCTAAGAGATAGCGACTTTAATGGGTGGACGATGGCTAGGGTTCCATTAATGGTGGTTCCGTCAATGGTGGTTCACAACAGTGGAAGAGGAGGCGACAGGTTGGCGAAAACGAGAATGAAAGTTATTGGGTGGAGTTTTACATCAAGTAGGTGGCAATGACGGGCGTTTGGTAGTATGGAATGGTATCGAGAACAAGAGTGGGAGGAAGAAGATAAGTTGGATGGGTTAATTTTTAGAGGGGGGGAGAGAGAGAGAGAGAGAGAGAGAGAGAGAGAGAGTGTGTGTGTGTGTGTGTGTGTGAGAGAGAGAGAGAGAGTTTGCATTTTATTTTTAATTTTTTTCTGTTATAAAAAATTATAATAATAAAATAAAAAAGGAAAATTTTCTTTCTTATTTTTCTTTTAATCAGAAAAAATCTTTAAATAATAAAAAAAACTGAAAAAAAAAGCAAGGGCAAGTTCGTCATTATGAAAAAGTTCATAGCAAATTGGACCAAACTCGCAACAAAATGAAAAGTTTGGACCTCTGGTGCTAGTCCAAACTTTTTTGGACCAAAGTGACAATTTTGAGCAAACCACAAGGACTATTTGTGCAGTTTAGTCATTCTGTTTCAAGAAACTTAATTTAAAAAATAATATTTATGAGTATATGTTGTAACTTTATAATCAAATGAGGAATATTTTGAGGAATATTTTCGATCAAGGAGACTCTCATTCGATCAATAAAGACCTTTAAACGTTCCTTCTAATATATATCTTTCAAAAAAAAAAAAGTAGATTACGTTTAGTTTAAGTGTGTCTTCTCCGGCAAAGATAAAACCAAGAAAACGCAACTTTTGTAACTACTTATTTGGCAACATACTTTTTTGTGTAAAAGGGATTTTGAATTATGAATTTTGAATTGCATTCATTAAGCAGATGTCGGAAGTGGATATAATAAATAAATAATAAATATAGAGATAGACAGCAATATATGGAGACCAAATCCTTTGCATGTGGCCAGCCCCAAGTGGAACCTTTTAGAAATTTGTTTCCCCACAACCCCACCAAAAATAAAAGTTGAAGGAGTTAGGTCATATACACATTCTTATGTTATCAACTTCATATCATATGCAGTATTTTAATTTTTTTTTTATTTAGATTGTAGAGACTGTTGTTGTAGGCGATAGATATAGAGTGCATTTTGTTTTGTGATGTGCAAAATACAAAGTCATGATTGGAATTGAGTTTCTACAAGCAAACTACCGTTAACTCGTTAAGTCATAAGTGTGAGGCCCATTTTAATGATGTTATGTTATCATTGTGATTAAATGTATGATATGAGTGATTTTATTTCCTAAAGTTGCATGTTTCTGGTGATAAAAAGATATGATGGTTTTGCCATTCTAAGGGCATGTACAAGATTATTTGTTTATTAGAGGAAAAATGATGAAGCATTCTCATGAAAATGATTACAAAATAAAAGTAAAGGATCAGGAAATCCGTAATAAACAAAACTCAACTCTAATGGCTCCCTCGCTCAAATCAGTGATCTCAATCTGATCTAATTCAATTCATTTACTTGTACAGTTTGATAAATGCTCACCAATTCACCTTCACCTTCACCATATATTATATATATTATAATTATATGAGATTTTACCCCTTCTTCCTTCAATAGTCACCCTCACCCATGCTTGCTATTTTTCTTCTTAACAAAAAGAAAAAGAAAGAGAACCTTTAGCAGCAGCATCATATCCAAGGTCGGGGTTATCTTGCTCCAATAGTTTCCCAACAACAACTGCACCCTCCACTCCTGCAATTGTGTACACAACCAATAACAAATTAATTGTCAGCAACAAAAATAAATATATACATTGTAATAATATACATACAATAAAAAGAGGATGTTGCTATTTTTTTTATTAGGAGCAAGGGAGGATACCTTGAGAGCATTTTGAGTTATTTGAACACCAATCTTCTGATCAAAATTGACTTTCAGTTCTCTCCAAAACCAGGGGCTTTAATGGCACAGACCTACACAACAATATGCACTATTAGATTGGAAGAATTATAATAAACAAATAAACAAACATTTGATGAAATAACTGTTTAAACGATTATAAAAAAATGATACCTTGATACCAGCACGGAGTTTGTTAAGAATGAGAGTGGCTAATGCCTCACTCTCAATATCTTCAGCAACAATCAGCAGTGATCTTTGATTCTGAAATGCATATAAGATGTGGTAAATGTGTAATTCAGAAGACACAAGCAACCATTTTTACTATAAGCTATTGACTAAATTCGTTACCTTCAGAGCCAATTCTAGAACTTTGACTATGCCGTTTAAACTGGAGATTTTTATCTCATGTATTAAAATCAAAGGGTCATCTAATTCCTGTAAAAACAGAGATTGTCAGTAATTATATATATATATATATATATATATATATATATATATATATATATATGACAAGTCACTGGTAACATGAGAAGCTATCTGTAAATAATTAATGCAGCTAGAATATTAATGCTTACGCATTTTTGATTCTTTGTATTGGTGATGAAGTAAGGTGATATATAGCCTCTATCCAACTTCATTCCCTCAACCACTTCCAATTCATTGTAAAGTGTTTTGCCATCCTGCAACCATCCACATTAAATTCAAAACCATTACAGATAGAAAACATTACAAAACTGGCAATCTATGAAATATAGAAATAATATTGTATTCAATCACACTAGTGAGATCACTTCTGTGAAGTAGAAAACAATAGGAGATGATAAAGATCAGCATCAAAAACAGAAAAAGAACTTTATGAGGTACTTACAGAAATGGTGATGACACCTTCTTTGCCAACTTTCTCCATAGCCTTGGCAATAAGTTCACCAATCTCCCTTTCTCCATTTGCTGATATAGTCCCAACCTTTTTATTAGGTCATATCAAAAAGACATCTATGAAATAATTAGTATGCTGGTTGATAGAATTATAGTTCTAATTTCCTGCAGTAAATGGAACAAACCTGTGCTATTTCTTCAGATGTACTGATCATCCTAGCTCTGCTCTTCAAGTTTGTGACAACTGAATCAACAGCCATTGTGATCCCACGTCTAAGATCTATGGCATTCATTCCAGCTGCAACTGACTTGCAGCCTTCTGAATAAATTGCACGGGTAAGAACTGTTGCGCAGGTGGTACCTAAAATATTATTACACCAAAGCTTTAGATCATAATTCGTGGGTGTCAAGAAAATAATTCCATTTTACTCAAAGATCATTTCAGCTTTAGAGAATTCTATTATTATTAATCCAAAAGAGAGAAAAAACAAAAAAAAAACTCACCATCACCAGCTGCATCATTGGTGGCATTAGCAACCTGCTTGACAAGGCTAGCACCCACATTTTTCACCCTGTCTTTAAACTCAATACTCTTTGCCACAGTGACACCGTCCTTTGTCACCTTGGGAGCCCCATAACTTTGTTCAATGACAACATTACGTCCCTTTAAAAGATCAATAATCAATGTTAGCTACTGTATCTGCAGCAGTGCATTATTTCGATCCTACAAAGATACAATAACCAATAAAAAGTACAACATAACTTCAATCTATTCTTCATACTGTTTTTATAACGAAACTAGATAGAGCATGCAAACTGCAAATGCAGGAATCACAATATAAAAGAAGGGAAGCAATGTGTAACAAATATCATTCTCATCTCAACATATGGCACAATCTAATCGTGTGTCTATGATAGACAGTTTGGGCCCACAAAGAACACGAGTTAAAGACTGCAGTTAAAGTGTATACCATCTAAAAGGACACTATCGAGTTCGTATAGGTGTTGTCATTTCCGCAAGGACATGCAAAGATCCAAACGGTTAATGACTAAATATACTAATCGAGCTTAAAAAGTGAAGCTTTAGTACATAAGAATCAGGCATTTCAATGGTGCAGTATATTTTGGACATTGTCAATGACCATAAAAATACAAAATACAGTCATCGAAAACAGAAAACGGTGATTAGAAAGACCTTAGGACCCATTGTGACTTTGACGGCATCGGCAAGCTCTTCAACACCTCTAAGCATCAAAGCTCCAAATCTAATTTCTTTGGCGGCGTAGTTTCGGCTCCAGCTTAAATTCGAGCTAACCTGAATCACAACACACAGTAGAATTTTACGCCTTAACCGATCGTACAAAAGGTCACGATATCATTAATGAACTACATATACTATAATATACAGTGTTTAATATACAGTGTATACCTTCTGAGCATTGTTTCTAGCGATCCTGAAAATGAAAGAACAAACAACAACAAAGTTAAACCAATGGATACGTTACTTGCTGTTGCACATAATTCCTAGATCAAACGTTAGAATGAAACTGACCTTGATTTTGTGGCGAGATTGGCTGCTAGACGAAGCATGGCGGCGGCGGAGGAGAGTATTCAGAAGAGAAAAAGGCGGAATGTGAAATGGGTACAGATGTTTTGGTTAGCTTTTTTGAAAAAGTTACAAAAAGTCATATTTTAATGACTTTTCAAAAAGTTCTTTTTACTTGCATCAAAACTCCAAAAGTAGCTTTTAAAACTAGTTTTGCCAAACATTTTTTGCTTTTTTTCTTTTCCAAAAAAGACTTTTGGCTGTGAAAAGCTAAGTCAAACACCCCCTAGAGACAGAGTAGAGAGTAGCAAAGGAAGTGAAGGATCGAGAAGAAATCCAGATTCGTTTTAGGGTTTAGGGTTCTACGGAAACTCGACGACTCGAATTAGACGGCGTCTATCTTCTTGTCTCGGATTGGCTGTTGGCTTCAAGATCGAAGTATCGTCCACGTCAACTCTACTGGACCTCGCCCAGTACATAACTTTTTGGGCCCTTCTTCACTTGTATTGTTAAGTTAGAGCCAACTAGAAATAGTAATGGAGTTTTCAATTTGTTTGTATTATAGTGTATTTTTATATTTATTAAGTCAATAGGTTATAACCCGTCGGTCACAACTAAAACAAATTTGAAATTAATAATACATTTTTAAAGTTTGAGGGCATTTCATACACATTAGACTAATTGTTAAATGCTTACATAAATTAAAATTTCTTTTTCTTTTATCAAAGAGAAATTATTCTTTATTATTACATATAACTAAACCCCACATTTTTTAAACTTATAAGGCACGTGCATAAAATATAAAAATAAATCCCTTTTAACTCTAAAATACCAACTTTTGAAATCTCATCCAAAATTCGGAAAGTCCTTGATTTTATATTTGCATAAGCTTTCATTATTGGTTTATTACTGATTTTTAGGGATTTGTATTATCAAGAAAATAGGCAACCAACTTATCTATAGGCTACAATTCGGAAAGTTCTTGATTTTATGCAAATATAGTTACCAAAATAAAATTTGAAACAGATTTTTTGGTTTAAGTAGAATAATAAGAATAAGGAATAAGAAATAAGAAAATAGGAATACAGAAAAATGACACATGGCAATATGGCTTTTGAAAAATTGACATGTGGCAGAAATTGGTTTTGTTTATTACAGGTAGATGTATTATTAAAAATTGTTTTTTATCAAATTAGTTTTACTTAAAAATTTTACTTATTATAACAATTGGATTTATGATGGCATAAAACAAGTTATAACATTTTTATAAAAAAAGTCATTGTTTAGAATTGAATCAAGTATCTTTGGTAGTATAAAAATAATATTATGAGTCAATCATTTTCACAAAAAAAAATCATTGTTTCATGTTTAGACAAAAAAAATGTTTAGAAAACATTTCATCGGCGGGTTTTATGTCAACATTAAACAAGTAATACATATTTTTTTTTAAAATCATTCTAGTTATTTTTGTGGTCTATACCGACATTTTCGCTTGATCTTTTTAGGCTTGGGGAAGTGGGGTGGCATGAGCATGACAAGAAGGAGGTGACATCTATGTGGCGTGACATACACTGCCCCACTACGATGGCATAGCAAGATGGCAAGTTCAAATGGTATTGGACTGCCGAGCTTGGTCACTATTTCTCTTTCTTCCATTTTATCTCTTCTCTTCTCTTTCTTGTCAGAACCACTCATTCACATATGGCAAGATGACATGAAATATGAAAAAGGTGATGTGGAGAGTCCTTACGATGAAGACCACTCCCTTCAAGCCTAAGGATGAACTTCAGTCGTACCATATGAAATCCGATGACAATTTATTTTTTATCATGTGATGACAATGGTATGTATGGCGGCCAAGTAAGTAGGTATGCATGGTGGCCAAGTAGGCAGTGGGACTCTTGTCATGTACTATCAATTAGAAGAAAAGAAAATTAAGTTATCAAATACGATATTAAATAAACAAAAGACAATGAGTTACATGTACATGTAACCTTGACATTGCATCCCATGTTGACAAGTCAAATGAAACTCTAAACCAACTGAATCTTTCATGTGCACACCTTTTCTGATGCTCCTTTCTATTTGTTGGTTATATTAAGTGGTTTGGGACATTATGTCACCGGTATTTTAGGTAAAAGAAAGTGTCGAGTGTCGTCAGAAGAAGCAGATCAACATTATTCAAAATTTATGAACAATTGGTTATTACAATGGAGGTTTGCAAATGCTCGAGTTGAAGATACCATTTTGATTGTTAAAAGCATGCATAAGTACTAACGTTGAAGGAGGAAGAAGGGGGAAACCGTGTTCTTCCCCGTGGATTCATTTGGAAACAAAAAAGATACTTTCATCTTTTAAATATTTATAGATTAAGATCAAGGGCATAATTGTCAATACATAATTTTTTAATGGAATGATAAAACCATTGAGCACAAGAAATAGGACCCATCTTTAAATAATAAATCAATTAGCCTTTTCGAACTGATAAATTGCTAAAACATACAACCCATAATACTCCATGATCTACATGCTGCACTTGTTTAGGTAGGCAAGTGTTTTATCCATTGCATAACAACATTTCGTAGATCTACAGAAGATGCCTAAGATCAAGATTTTATGACATGTTTCATCTCATCCATGTCTTTAGGCCGATTTTATACTATGAAATCACCAAACAAGTCACATTTGATAGGATATATATCATATATGGTTACTAACACATGAGATACAACAAAATCACTGCAGGTTCATCTTGCCTCCAACAAGATAGCCAAGTGTCTGACAATGTCAGCTGCAATCTTGATGATCAAGCAAATGTTTGACAAACATCTCTCAAGGTAAAGGGTGGCAAGACCCTTCAAGTTCAACTCACAATGGCAATAACTGTCATCCATTATTCTTTAGGAGTTTGGGCACATTCAAACACTTTGGGCTTGGTCCTCTAGTCTTAGTACATGAACCATTTTTTATTTATCATGCATGAACAATTAAAAGAGGATCAGCCAAAACCAAAGCAAAACAAACCACAGCTGGAACTGGAAGATAAAAGGTAATGGACCCAAAAGTTGAACCACTCTAAACCAACTATGTCCCAAACCAAACCGGAACTGTATACATACTTAGGTTAATATGTTTGTTTTAACTTGAAAGAGCACCTTAAAATAATGTGGTTTCAAGTTTGAATAATGAAAAAAACACCCATACATACATTGATGACATAATCTCATTATATTATTATTGTTATAGACACAAAACAAAATTAAAAGAACACAAACAATATAATAATACCAACCATCCAAACACTCACACAGCCAAAACTAAAATGATGCCCAACCCAAACTTACAAATATACAAATGAATGAACAAGAAGAACACACTGCACACACACACACACACTCTCTCTCTCTTTCTCTCCGTTTCTGATAAAAAAATTAAAAATTAAAAAAATTTGTGTTTGTGTTTAGCCCTGAATAGGAGTACCTAAAAACTTGACTTAAAACCTAAAACACAATTTACTACTAGACTTCAAACCTAAACTAAAACTACATCTAAGACATAGAAATACTATGTCTTATCCTATTGATATTGTTTAGCAATCTCTTTCCTTGTATTGTTGAAAATCAGACGATTCTCCTTAAACAAGTTCTTTCCCGTTTTTAACAGAAGCTTTAGCGCACATCCTTTCTCTTTTCCTTTCCCAATTCTAAAATTTTATCAAGCTTATTCTCCAACCCTTGGACGTTGCTTCTCATCTCCTCCACTCCACTAAATGAACTTTGTGTTCATTTTAGCTTTCTTTTTGCTCTATATTGTCTCATAGGACGAGTTGGAGCTTCGTATGGATCTTCATTGTTGAGGTCAATCCCACCGATACACGTATCAGAAGATTGACTTTGGGTTGACTCGGAAGTTTTGCTTTGTTTGGACATGTCCACGTAATCATCAATACTTTTTAGATTAACCCATTTTGGTTTGCCCTTCACAACTCTCCAGAACGCCTCATTGCCAAAAGGTTTTCTGACTTTCGCGTTATAATTTTGATGAACTTTTGTTAGGACATCCACCTCATTTGCACTTCTTTGGGGGTTGCGGGTCGCGTTCATGTAGATGCCATTGAACTCCATTTAGCCTTTGTTGGCGGCCCTCCATTTCGAGTGAAGTTAATTAGGATTACGGTACTCCTTATTTATTCGGACACACAAACTTTTCCAAACTTTAGTTTTAACGGTTGTCGAATCTTAGTCGTCGCCCGTCTCCAGATCCTCCAACACATCTAGCCATGCTTGCACTAATGCCTTCTCTTCATTATCCGTCCATCCTTTACATGGAACCTTCCCTTTCCTTTACTTTTTCCTTTTGGTTCGACTTCGGGCTCTTGAAACGACTCTTGAATGTGCTCTTGAACAAGTCCTTCATCGAAAGAATCAGTTGACTCATCGAGTAGGCGACGTGGTTGGGATTGAAAATTAGTTTGGTCTGTGAAAAGAATTGGGTTTCTTGAACTGTCTCAAACGGATCAAGATCGAAGTTTCGATGAGGTATTGGTTGGGATTGGAAATATGTTTGCGGTTGGTTTTGTTAAAATCGCATGGGTTGAGATGAGTACGGATTGAATGGATACATTTGTGGAGCCATAATAGGATAGTAGTAACTAGTAGATGAATGAATGGGTTGATCAAATGAAAGTCGATAACATGTTGGTGATTGGAGGTTTTTGAGGTGGAATGTTTAGTGATGGAAGGTTTGAATTTTTTGTTTTGTTTTTTATTGGGGTTTTGTTTTGGGTAGATGAAGACATTTTTTTGGTAAATTAAGAGTATTTGTGAGAGAGATAATGATATTTTGTGTGTGTGAAATGTTGAGAATGTAGTGTTAATTTATAATGGTAGATAAAATTTGAAATGTAAGTGTTTTTAGGGTAAAATCAAATGTTTTTTTAAAAGGGAGGGATTTTTTTGAATTTGGTCAAAAATGAATTAGGAATCCAATCAAAGTAGAAGCAACCAATCACACGTAATGACAAGTCTCTCTATCCTTTCGCTGAACTGGTAGCGAGGATGGCTTAGTAAGTCCCCTAGCGAGCGCTAGGGGCGGTGTTCCTTATGCATAG